TTAGGTCAGGTGTGAGATGGGCTGGTTATATGTTACCATTGAATGAGGATTGCTTTTCCTAGGGCATCAAGAAATATCTGAACACTTGGTCTCCTATTGGTGGTGCTCTTTGGGGAGGTTTAAGTGGTGTAGGCTTGCTGGAAGAAATATATCCCTAGGGCTGAATTTGAGTATTTATAGTCTCAGACCCTTCCTCTTCTTTCTCTGTTTTATGTTTATATTGGAGATTTAGGCATTTAAATTCCTGTTCTTTCCACACTCGCTGCTGTGCCTTCCTACCATGATAGATTCTCATCATTCTAGAGGCATCAGCCAAAATAAATCCCTTCTTCTTCCATAAGTTGTTGTCATTATGGTATTTTTCTCACAGTAAGAAAAAAGTAATTAATATATGTTCTGATCTTTGGAGAGGATCTATTACAGGTTCTTCATGGTCATTTATGATACAAGTATCATTTGACTGCTGGAGAGATTGAAGTTAAAACTCTCAAGGAGAGGTTGCTGTTCATAAAGATGAGCCATGCGGAGGAATTTAAATGCTTATTGGATAACTGGCAACTTTGGGTGGACTATGGAGGTAGATGTCTCCAAACACTAGCAACTCAGCAAGATTATAGTGGACCAAAATTATGAATTGGCTCAGAAAAAGGAATAGGAAATATAAAAGTACTCATCCCAGCATATTGAGCATGATGGTATTATTCATACTCATTGTAGCTGCTGCAATGACTGTGGAGCTTAAATGATGCTTATGGTACTAAGAGGCAGAGACTAGTCCTTGGAGAGTAATTTGACTTCAATGAGATTTTAAAACACATCTTGGTATGTAAAGGCCTACTGTGCCTTGCACATGGAGCTGTTCAACAGATTTTGCTACACATTGGTAGAACTCACGAAGACCTAAGCAAGCAGGGCCATGAAACTCAGAACTACAAGACCCTGAGGAACATCACAGGCTAGCTGGATGCCAAGGCCAACCACTGCTGCCTCCTGAAAGATGAAGAAGTCTTAAATCCCCCCAAATAATCTGGGCAGCAGAAACATCATATAAATCTCATGAAGGATGACTGTCTATAGGATCTGGCTATTGTGGTGTCTGTAATGAACACCCTCAAAGTTTGAAGTACCAGGGTAGCAGAAGTAGGAAACCCTTTCAGAAACAAAGGCTAGTAGACATTCATAGGTCACTAAACATTTGAAAAAGAAAAGTAAGATGTTTTCCAAAGTGGTTCAACTGCTAAAACATGGGTAGAAGAGATGAGAGTTTGTATGAAAACCTCAGCATTTTAAAAAATCATGACCTACTCAAAGCACATTGTTCATGCCAACTGCAACATTTTGAAGGTCTGAGTCATTTTGATAAATAGTATATAGCTTAGAGTTGACTTAACAAATTCTGATAAGTTATAATCAACTGCTAATCTTTGATTAATAAGTTTAGAATTCCTCTGACATGTGTATGATTCTCTGTATAGAACCTTCATTGGGCAGACACATCACACAGTAGCCAGGCAGCATATTCAAACACAGTTATCGTATCACTTGTTTATTGATCTTTTGAATGTTATTCCGTGAAAGACAATATAACATAGCAAATCAATGATTACAAGTTTTGACATCTCATTTAGTCTCCTCTGGATTAGGTTATACAGCTCATTATTTAGTCTTTCCGTCCCTGTAGAAACTGAAAGATTCACTATCGAAGATAGTTCATATAGAACTGATCTCTGAACTGTGGAGAATCTCATTCCAAATTGGATCATGGTGCTCGCGCGAGCTGATATATCTAGTTTCTTCGTGTTTCTTGCTTGAAATTTTTCTCTCATATCACTCTTATTTTACATTTATTTCTTAGATGTCTGTTTTTGTTTTTCAATGTATTAGTTCCACAAATTTGGCTATACACTCCTAGGTCTCATGACTCCAACCAGAAGGTGTACAGTTTGGATGATACATAGCAAATAGCTGAAGAAAAATGTTTATTATTCTAAAGGTTTTTCTAAATATTACATTTCTGCAGTCCTACCTGTAGGGACGATGAGATGGAGAATTCAAAGCTGGCCTGCACAGTGAGTTTGAGGTCAGCCTTGACTATATGATGAGACCGTGTCTCAAACAACAATAATATTAAAAATATACTATAAAATTCTATAAGTGGAACATGAATGTATCATTAACTGGGAACAGGAACAGGATGAAAAGCAATGGGGGAGACTAGACCTTAGATTCAAAGTTGGAGCAAACTTCGTACGTGTCCATTCTGGTTCTAAGAATTTAAGCGGAGACCCATCCAGTAGTTCTACTACAAATCTTAGTAGAAATGGGTGAGGTAAATCCTAAGCATCTACAACATATAGATGGAAAATTACTTCCTTTAAGCTTATAGTGATCTAGGTGACACTGTCTAGGCAAATCCTGGGACAGAATAGTTATCTAATTCAAATACAATAGGATTTCTCTTATTTCATTAATGGGGGAAAATGCGTTTAATCTCACAAGAAATATCCGGATCAGTGGCCTGCAACATTAAAACCTGTCGTTGTGTGTTAAATGACAAGATATCACAATAACCTTTCCTGTCGTGCCGAGTCATTTACCCATAGCCACAAGAAGACCATTGGCACTCAGTACACACCATCAGAAAATTTCAAATATACTGAAACATGAAACTTCTTTAATTTATTCTGTTTTATTTGATAGTGTAGTCCCCAATATGTTTTGTTTATAACAATTCTGCCTCAATGTCAAAAGGCAGTTTTGTTATCATGTTATACACGTGAGAGTTTAGACTTTCAAACAGATGGTAAGGAATCAAGAATGTGTTGCCTCCATGCTGGAAGAAAGGAAGCCAAAATTTAAAGGGTTAATAAATTCCCAAGTTCACACATGCTGAGGTATACAGTTTACCTTTGTATTTTATGTCTAACTTTTCTCATTTTATTCTAACTGGCAAAGCCAAGTTTTATTTTCTTTTGTTTATTTGGAAAAAAATCTTAGTCTGCTTTTTATTGCTATGCTAAAACATCATGATCAAAATCAACTTGGGAATCAAGAGTTTATTTGGCATATAGTTCCCTATCATGGTCTGTCACGAAAGGAATCCTGGCAGGAACCTGGAAGCAGGAACGGAAGCAGAAGCCATCGAGGAGGACCATCGAGGATGCCTTGCTCCCACGATTTGCTCACTTTGCTTTCTTAAACACTCATGACCAGGGATGACATAGCTCATAGTCTATGCCCTCCACATCAATAGTTCACCAAGTAAATGCCCATATTCTTCCCTATGAACCAGTCTTACGGAGGCATTTTTACAATCCCAGTTCTGTCTTTCCAGATGACCCTAGCTTGTGTCAAGGTGACAAAAACTACCCAGCATACACAGAGTCTCTCTCTGTGGCCCAGGGAGACCTGCAACTTGAGATCCTTTACCGCAGCCTCCTGTTTGCCTTGCTATTTACTATTTTACTTTTCATCTACTTCCAGTGGCGCGTCTCTCTAATTTCAAGTACTTGTGAGCCAAAGGCAGGGATTCATTTGAACTCAGGAGATCATGTTGTTTGGTGATGTAGTAAGGACTGTGTCTCCACACAAACGTTTCCTCTTCATAGTATATTATTGTGTTATGAACTGGGTCTAGATAGATACATTCAGGTTCCATCTCACAGTGAGAAGTCATAAGCCTCTGTCTCATCACCCCTTCCTTTCAGAGAGTAATTATTTGCATGTGGCTGAATGCCGTGGTGAAAAGTTCGCATGAAATCTAAACAAAACGTGAAAAAAAGGCCATATGTTCGTTAAACTTTCAAAACATCCTCATTTTTTGTTTTCATTTTGTTTTATTTTCAGAGTCTGAACTTTTGACTAGATATATTTATGTTCTAATAAAGTCTTAAAAATCACTTTCTGGGATGGGCTACACAGAACAATCCAAGAGATCTAGGTATTGTTCTACTACAATCTGATTCAGTTTCCTAACTTGGTAAAATAAGCTCTCTATACAGCACTTTATAAAAGTTAGCAAGATAGCGCAGGCTGCTATTGGAAGACCTTATCCAATCAGTCTCCATTTTATAAGAAGCCAGATAGTCAGCAGTGTGCATAGAGCCCTGTGCAGACACAGAGGTCACCAAGGGGAAGAAGGAAGTATGTCTGACTTGAAGCTAGTACTATTTATAGTTTACAAAAACCAAAGCCCGGAGCATCAAGGGTCAGGGGTGGCAGTATGTTCATGCAGTAGACCAGGCCCTGGGATAGAAGCTGGGATCTTCATTCCAGAGAACACTACTGAAGTTGTTTCTCCTGGGCAGGAGGAGAAGGGTACTGAGTAGTTTGGACCCAGCAGGTTCTGGGCTCATGAAAGCTCTAGGAATATCAAATTACTCAAAACAATGTTTCCTCTGTTGTTAAGAAATTTACTACAGGGTGGAATTCTTACTGTAGACAATTGTTAAATTAGTCGTATCTTATTCTAGCCCGTGTGGACTCATTAAGGTGACATTTATTAGTGGTTTCAGATATGAATGTTGTTTACCCACTTCCACCACTGAGGTATAATCTACGCAAGGCTTCTGGTGGCAGTCTCCTAGTGGGCTGTCCTGATCTACATAGATTGTGAACACCGTGGACACATATGTAGAAGCCTCATGACATCACCAGCAGGGAAGAATACAGACGATGGAAGAGGAAGGCATTTGATATAGAATGGGAAAATTACCATAGAATTAAAAATTTTTTAGAGTTTATTTGTTCATTTATTTTAAATATATGTGTGTTTGGCCTGCTTGTATGTCTGTGCACAATTTATGTGAAGTGTCTATGGACTGCAGAAGATGGAGTCGAGTCCCCTGGAACTAGATACAGTTGCTAGCAGCCCCGTGGATCCTGAGATTCAAACCTGGGTCCTATGGAGGAGCAGCAAGTACTCTTAACTGCTGAGCTGTCTCCAAGGCACTAACTGGGAACTTTTATTTACGAATTCTTTTCTTTCTAATTCACTATAGAGATAAGGCCCTTGATGTTCCTAAGAATTTAACCATGACTGACGGCAAAAATAAGACAATCACGGTCAATTACGTAGGTGACACGTCGTCTAACGTCTATGGCTGGATGGCTCTGCTCGTGGATCAGGAGACCTACTCACTGCAGTTCCAGAACAACGGTCGGATGGAGCGCTCTTTACAGGTCATCCCGTCCACTGGCGCTAAGTTGTTTCCACGCTCAGTTGTTCTTATGTGCACTTCTGTGAAGGAATAGGTTGGAAATATCTGGTGCTTATGAAGGAAGCTGCTGCCGCAGCATTTTTCTAGTTAGTCTTCTTGTTAGCTTGAACCTTTTAGTATTTCAAACCCATCCTGAATGCAAACCTTGTTCTGCTAGAAATGGAACAATTCAATGAAAAGTAGCCTTTAAGCATTTCTTATCATTTCGTTTCTCCCTCTCTCCTTCCCTCTCTCCATCCCTCATACCCCTCCTCCCTCTTTCCTTTCTCTCTATCTTCCTCCCTTCTTCTCTCCTTCTCCCCTTCATCACCCCCCTCTCTCCCTTATATAAGCTAAAACCTAGCTTACCCATTACTGTGGTTTGAAGCCAGAGAAAATTTCATAACCAGGCGATCGCATGTTTCATACTGCCACCTAGTGGCTCAAGATGAATTTACAAAGAGAGCTTCACATTTCTCCAGGCTGGGCTAGATGAGAAGACTGCAATTGCTAGGGGTAATGACAAGGTAGAAAGTGGGCACATTTGTCAAGATGATAACAACAACAATAGATAAGACATAAAATAAAATTTAAAATGGAAACAGCAGCTCAACATATTTCCTTTAGCCTGTTTCCCCTTTCACACGGTTTGTTCTTGCTGTGTCACATGCAACACGGCCCACATAACTGTGAATGTTTATCTTAGGGAGACAGGAGGGGCATATGTGATCTTCTCACCATGGTCCCCAGGAAGGATATTGGTCCCCCTACCTCTCTTTGCTGTCCAGTGGGTTTACCATGAGAACACTCCAAGAGATTTTCTCCAAAGCTAAGGAGAAGGATATGGCTCAGGAAGGTTTGTGTTTTGGCTCGGCACTGCCATCCAAGGGAATTACTTCATGCTCTAGAATAGAACACTGAGATTAACAGTCACTGGGCTCTTGGGCTTGAATGAGTAACAGAAATAGTGCCTTGTGGTGCGGAAGGGACCCTGGCAGTGTTAGCCATGGCTGGTCCTCGTGCATAGTTTGTAACAACTGCTTGCCTCTCCATGTCGTGAGGAAAGCTGGGAACGAACTGCAGACCTGCCTCCTTCTCTTACAGCTTTTTGACTGACCGAGAGAAGTCAGTTCACCTGTCTGGGCCATGCTCTCTTCCTCTGTTAGCGGTGGTTATGAACAAGACAAACCGGGTGATTTTTTTTCAGTCTTCACATTTGATGATTTTGTAGCCTGATTGTGAACTTTCTATGACATAGATTGAAATAGACCTATTTCGGCTCAGAGTGTGCGGCTTGGTGTTGTCCTGCTCTGATGCCAAATGACTCCCTTCGAGGGGAGGGGTCTCTTTGTTTATCAGTGTGTTCTTTCCTTCTCACTTCAGTACTCAGCAACATTTGACAGCTTTGCCCCCGGAAATCACATCCTGCTGCTGCACGGGGATCTACCACCTTTCCCGGACATCCTCATCAGGTGTGGAAGTCGCCTGGGTCAGTCACTGCTGTCTCCCCCTTTGCCCAGTCGTGACAGAGGCTGTGACTGGTTCTTCAACAGCCAGTCGGGGCAGCTCACCTATCTCGGTATGTGCCTACCCATTGGAAGTATTTTTTGAGGGCACATAGTCAGAAAGCTTTCTTTATTCTTGAATTTGAGCTTTTGTGCTGGGAAATAAAGAATGAAAGGGACAGCTGTGCTAAATGTTGTAATTAAATGGGTGGGCTCTAAAATCACATCACGTGGGTTTAAATCTCAATCTCAAGATGCAGTAGGTAGTGAGTGATAGATACATAAGTCCTCTACATCTTATTTTCCATTATTTGTAAAATAATAATAGGACCTTCATTAAACCTGCAGTTAAATAAAGGTTGGTGTGTAAAATTCTTTATAAAAGTGTTTCATCTATATTAAATGTTCAACAAGTGTTTGTGATACTACTATATTAATTGATATATATATAATTAATTAATATGTTAATTAATTAAGAGAGTATTCTATTTGTCTAGTAAAATAATTGCGAATTAAAACTGCACCGAGATGGGTCTGGAGGGATGGCTCAGTGGTCAAAAGTGCTTGTTGCTCTTACAGAGGACCTGAGTTTGCTTCCTAGGGCAACTGCCAGTAGCTTCAGCTCCAGGAGAGCCAAGAGGATCTAGCGTTTGCAGGCATGACATGCATGTTCATAAACCCATACTCTTTGCAGTCTGCAGGCAGAAGGAGTTCCTTCTCACGTGTATTTCCCAGTCTTCCAGTGTTAGGCTCAGGAATGTCCATTTTTGACCTTCTGAAGTATCTCAGTGTTACTCTCAGGACTGTCCAGTTTTAACCTCCTGAAGTCTATCTGCTTTTATTTTTCTATTTCAGTGTCCTCACTGGTCACTGAGGATTAGTGTGTCCACTTGTATCAGCCTCACCAATTCAGTAATATGATCTAGTCAACTGGTGGTCATCCTGTAGATGACTGTTTCACAGACGACATGTCATCAGTTCAATCTGAACGTGCATTAACTGTTGAGTTTTGTGACCTTTTAGGGTTTAGTGGCTATACTGCTTTTTTTGTGGTGGGGTGGTATGGAAGACAGAGGATCTGATAACATGGGTTTCTGCATTGATGGCTCTGTTATGAATTGTTCTTAATAGATTCTGACAAATTCACCGAGCCTGATCAACACAGTGAGTCTCAGCCCTGCCACAAGCCAGACTTGGCCCTAAGCACAGCAGATAGTAAGCAGTTGCCCTGGGTCACTTGTCTTTCCCACTTGGGCATAACCATATGAAGACTGGGTCCGACCCACACAAAAGCCTTGCCATAACTGAATTTAATACATATGAAGGAAAAGTTGATGCTGTCCTAGCTAAAAAGACAACTTCTTAACAGATGCATTAAAATGCATGTTCCTTGTACTGCATTTAGCAATTCCTAGTTCATTTCTAATATGAAATAATCACATGGTAGTCATCATATAGATGGCATTTCATTCGGTAGGTAGATTTTACTAATATTTTTTTGTATGAGAATCATAGTCTTTCCTTGGCCTATGATTTGGAAAGTCAAAGTAAGCCATGGAGGGTTGCTTGGATGTCTAATGTAGTTAAAGACTCATGATCCCTGAAGAGGAGGCCAAGTTGGAGTTTGTGTGGTCAGCATCACCTCTTTTAGACTCTAAGTGAGTGGGGCAAATGAGTGACTGCAACCACTTACATTTCCATTTCTGGTTTGGAATTGAGGTGTGTGCTGTTTCCCTGTATTAGCTCCCCATGCAGCCACATTAACTGTGTACATTTGACCGTAATTATGTATATCCCGTGTGTAAAGTTTACAACTTTACCAACTTCTGTGCGAATGTGGTGGACAGACCACCATGGATCCTACAGACTTGCATGCATTCCTTAATATCCTATTAATAGTGACGTAATTATCGTAGCTGGTACTCCAACACAAGCCGTAGGAAACACAATTAGACACTTGTGTTGCCCATTTGATAAATTAGAACCTTACTCTCATCTAGTTGTTTAGTTTTGGTGACCTTTTAGGATTAGAATTAGAATAATTTACATAACATATACTAGGATGTGAAACACCAGCCAAGTTCCCTATATAGAAGTCTGGCTTTGTTGTCAGGACACTGCCAGCCTTCCAGAGGTGCAGCCTTAGGTCAGTTTTTCTCTGTTGTTTTTTGGCTTGGCTGCTGTTTTCTTCTGAGGCAGCCTCTTCTGACAACTGGATGGATTTCATTCATTAACTACTTCTTTTATTATTATTATTTTTCATACAATATACATTAATTATTTTCTCTCCACTCCCCCAGCTCCTCCCAGACTCTCCTCATTTCCCTACCCATTTAACTTCATCATCTTTCTCAACCACCCCCCCAAAATAACTAAAGTAAAAACAAGCAAACAAAATCAAATAAATAGTTACAACAAAATAAAACAAAACAAAAATACACATACAAATAATAAAAAGAAAAAAACGTGGACTTTGTTACTCCTGGGTATGGAGTCTGCTTTGGAGTGTGGTTGGTAAATCCAGTGACCCTTCATTGGAGAAAACTGATTTTTCCTTTGCCAGTGGGTATCAGTTCAAACAGATTCTTGGTTAAAGATGAGATTTTGTGTTCAGGGCCCTTTCTTTGTCTGGAGTTTATGTCTGGGTTGAATATTAGCTGCTTCTAAGTGGATGATCTTCTGTCTGTTTGTAATCTTACCATATCCCATAGTAGGAAGGTTATTTTTTGTCATTAATTAATTATATCTCACCTTCTTGACTTCATCGTATAAGACTTATGGTATCTGTCTAACTTTCAACCCAAACAAGAAAGAGGAAGCAGAGAACCCAGGCATTCTAGCTCCTGGCTCTGGATCTATCCACTAGAGTGTGCTACCCACTAAATAATCATTGATCACCAACCACAAAGGAGAGGGAAGGGGCTTCAAGGCAGGCTGCAGAAGAAAACTTCTCACTTCTCCCCAGCAACAGTGAAAAACATACCATGCACATATTGTGACCCTTCCATTTCTCCTTTCCAGTGAGGCTAGTTTTGTCTTTGTTCAGCAAACATCTTTATGGAGTGCTGGGTTCCCAGAAACCTCACGGCCAGTGCTTGGGGCTTAGGGTTTTAATCAGTGGCTGGCTGTCTCTTTTACCTGGGGCATGGTATTATAATTGCTCCATGCCTCAATACCTTCACTTCTACAACGAGGTTAAGAATATTTACTTGTCTCTTAGAAATGTGATACAAACCACTCAAATACATTAAAGCTTGCTTAACATAACCTGCTACTCTGGTAAAACCTTTCTCCGTGGACACTTCCTCTTTCCAGTAATGTGTTGTCTTCCTTTCAGTGAACTCACTATAGTTTCTCTTTGCATGTTTGTGTGTGTGTGCTGGTGCACATGTGGGCATGTATGTGGAGACCAAAGGCCAACTGCAGGTGCCGTTCTTCTGGTGCTATCTACCTTGTCTTCCGAGACAGGGTTTCTCAGTGGCCAGGAACTTCACAGTTTGGGCAGGTTGGTTGACCAATGAGGCTCAGGGATCCAGTTCACCCATCTCTGCCTCCCCAGTGCTGAGATTGCATATGTGTATTCCTCCTGTTCTTGACACTTTTCACATGGGTTCTGAAGATCAAATTTAGGTTCCCATGCTTGCAAGTTGAACACTTTACCAACAGAGACATCTCCCAGTCTCTTTGCTATTTTCTAAGCTGGATTTTATATTACTTGAAGTCCACCATCCTATGACCTCCCTGGCGTGATGCTGTGAACAGATTTAAATTCATTCACTTAAATATGTCTTTTGGGGAGATTGGTTCAGGTTGCCTTTCCGAAGGCACTGAAAATAGTGCGCAGGGAGCTGCTGACTAAGGAGGACGCGGGAGAGTCGTGCTGCTGCAGCCCAGGTTAAGACGCAGAGGAAACAGTATTGGATGTGGTGAACTGTACGGAATGGCAGTCCACAGCTCTAACTTCCAAATTATGCTCAGGAACACACGTAACCGTAAAACAAGCATTCTCCCCTGTTTGCCAGGCAGGAGTGCAACTCAGCAAGCCCGCTTCTCTGCCTACACGGTTTGACTGACGGCTCGTGTCTCGGCCTTCCCAAGCCACTTTCTTGCTACTTCATGGCTGCTGTCTTCCCCCACCCCTCAGGAATGTTTCAGTTCATGGTGAACTATTTTTATTTTTTAGTTACATTAACGCTATGAAATAATTAGTCAGCTAATTAATCTGGTTTACAAGCTTTGTCGGATTCTTCAGCTGCCAGTCAGGTCCAGGCCTGAGGCCTCCATCTACTCTCATCTCTCTTGCCCATGTGATTCTCGTTGCCATGGCTACTGGCTACATCTGCTGACACCCCACTCTCTATTTATTGCTTAATTAAGAATTTCACGCTCAGCCCTTATCTGCCTCTAAGAACAAGTGCATACTGTTAAGAAATTCCCAATTTCGGCCCAGACACAAGGAAAGTCTTTCTTATGGCCTTGGCTGTGTGGAGCCTCTCTAAGGATCCTCTCAGCATCCCAGCCGCCACCCTTCAATCAAAAATCATTAAATGGGGCAGAGATAATGAGCATGTAGCATATCAAAAGAAGGATGTTTGCTTGGTCCAAAGGAGAGAAAGCTGCTAGGCCCCATGCTCTGCCCCACTTCAAAGGGAGATGAGACCCCTCATCACTGCGGCCTGATAAAGCCTCATTTGTTCTGGGCTTGACTTATGCAGAAGGTCTCCTATGTCAGACCATCTCACAGGCTGGGTTTCCCCCACTTCTTGTCCCCACCAATACCGACCCCCCCCCCCTTTCTGGCCTTCCTCATGTTCGTGTGTCAGCACTTAGGCAGCTGGGTCCCCCAACGCATCAGGCCAAGCGTGTAATCACTGACTCCCCACTCACAATGGCCACTTGTAGGGGGGTGGCCGGGAGGAGGTCTTCATCACAATAGGAACACAATTATTGCAGCTGCTCGGGAGGGCTATGCTTCTTCCTGTAGCAATATAATAGGACTTGCCCAAACCAGGAGGTGAAGGCTGGCAGGAGGTGGTGAGGGGCTGAGAGGAGTGGAGAAAACAACCTTGACGGG